CAGAGAAGAAGCGACCTAAACGGACGCAAAAGGGATCCAATAACGCCTCAGCAGGTGTTACGACCAGTCCCCAAAACAAAGCCAAGAAACGGGATCTCGCAGAGGCAGTCGAAGACGAAGTCGAGGAAAAATGTGAGGGTCCAATCAAGCTGCCCAATTCCGTCCTCGACGGTTGCGAATCCTCATTCAAGGCCGCGGACGAAGCGCGTGAGAAGGCGAGCACTCAATTCTTCGACGACACTGCGCTTACGGCTCTCGTATGCCGTCATGATCGCGTTCTCTGGCTCGCGAACATGACCAGCGCAGGCGAACGTCAGCATTATGCCATTGCACTCCTTGACAAGTTCTTCCGCCACGTGCCGGCAACATTCCGTGCGGGTGTGTTATACGACATAGGCTGTCAGTTGCATCGAAGCTGTTATAAGTGGGACCTCCTACCAGATTACTGCGACCGCATAGTGTTCGCGATCTCGGTGTTCCACGCGTTTGGCCACCAATGGCCATGTCAAATCATATACCACCCGCGAAAGTGTGCGTGTTTTGGCCTTTCAGATGGAGAAGGATGCGAGCGCCTCTGGAGCGCACTGGACCACCTCGTGGCCGGGCTGCGTGTTAGCGGTGTAAGTGATTATCCACCTGAACAAAGAAGAGATCACTGACGGAATTGTGAAGTACTTTCAACGGTTGTATGTGATCAACTCTCAAATACACCATCTGGATGGCCTACACCGGCGTGGAATCGCTAAATGGCTTGTACGCAAGTACGAGGCGTGCCGCTCTCGATGGATCGAAGCTCAGGACGGTCTTCAAAAATGTGCCCTGACCATGGAATTCCTGCGTGACCAATGGGAACTTCAAAAAAAATCTGCGCAGACGAAACCACTTCGGAGTAAATCACTTCTGCTGGAAGCCGGAGTAAACTGACTTCTCCTGTCAGGACAGGTAAAGGACGCAGGTGCAAGAACCATCGACGCGATTCTTGTCTTACAGGATCAGCTGAAGGTCCTCGACATGAACATCACGAAACTCGAAAAGGCAGTCACGAAGGGTCAAGGTGATACCGATACAATGTTCCGGATAGCTGAGCTGCTGGAGGAGCGCCGCCGTGCCATGATGAAGAAGCGCCGAATGGAGGACAGCCTAGACCTTCGCAGGAGGCAGGATCTCCAAGCGCTGCGCGCGAGTCGCTACCTGACGGCACGCCTTAACGCATTGGCCCTGAAGAGCCATATCCGGGATCGCTTGCATCAGCGCAAGTTCGAATTTGCGGGTATAGAACGGAGGTTCCGCACGGAGTCTTCCGGTGCGTCTCTCCGTCTGGACCTCATCCTCAGTGCCGAGCCTGAATCATGGGAATGTGTCAGACCGAAAGTTGGCAGCACACGCTACGAACGCGGTCCATCGACGGGAACCCGGAATCCAGACACTCGCCCGCAGGTATAATTTGCTATGCGGTGAAATGGCCGATCTGGTCAAGAAGCGCGAAGCTCCACCTCGGACCGAGCCTCCAAGACCGATCAACATGGAAAATCTATGGGGTCTTGACGTGGACGATGACATCTGGCTAGATGTTGGGCTGCTGGATGAAGATGGTGTTGACAACCATCCGTCCGTCCGTTGGCTTACAGACGAAAAGTGAAAGATGGGATTCGTCATATGCTGAGCACAGATCGATGCTAGGAGGAATTCAACAGAATTTCGGTCGAACGTAAGAACATGCAGATTTGGTTGCGCGAGGAGTGGGAGGCAGTCGAGCACGCCGTCAATATGGCCGGTCAGTGATTGGTTGTTGCCATCCTGGTATTCTATTGACATTTTGCTCAGACCTGTCTGAGGGCTTATATCATCACATCTTCCTCTATCGCAAGGAGCTACTGAGCTTAGCCATAACCTGGAAAAAGACCGTGACTGCTATTCCCACCGACGGAGATACGCCACCCGACAAGTGGGGGCCAAGCGAAAGCGAAATGCGGGAAGAAATGGCGTGAATGACCAACAACATCTCCCCAAAGGCAACCTCCGCCCCCGTGACTACATACTCTTTGGCGACACACCCTGGGGGCGATGCCGAAATGCAAGAGACTCTGTCGAACCACGCCGATGCAGACTACATGTTGGGTGACGAAGATGACGACGAAGATAGGGATGTGCGGGAGGTCGCGGATGAGTCAAGATGTTGCCGCCGTGTATGAGCAGCTGGAGGCGCTGCATGTGAATGTTGGCGGCATGGCGGACGGCGCATGGCAGTCGGACACGTCCTCCACCCCTCACCTTAGCGACGGCTGGACAGGGCAAAGTTCAACGTCGGTACAATCATCGTCCGGACCATCGACTCCGAGAACACCGGTGAATCGTCTCGGACATGTCTTGTTCCCTCATCAGTCACCCTCGTCGTCACCCCATGCCCACGTGGTTGACGAAGGGGTTCGGAGACGGTTATTCGCAACCGAATCGTCCTCATCACTGGGCGTATATCCTCCTTCAAGGAGTGACGTTTTCGGGACTCCCACCAAGCGCACAAAGCACGGATAATTGGTCAATAGCTCGCTTGCCGTTGATTATCATTATGAGTAGATGTAATTATGATTATACGCATGTATTTGTACGGGACTTTACACGGGCGGGGTTATGCTTGAGATACGTGATATGATGACTCATTTTCCGAATGCCAACGTACTGTCTTGACGAAAGGGTACGGAGGAGCTCTCCGGCGATCAGTCATGTTGTCGCGTGCCTCAGGTTCGATTCCCCCGCTCATCACCTATTTGAAAGGCTTTCTTCCGACCGCCACGCACAAAAGCTTTTGCTGGATATGCCGTGGCTCGCTTGATCTTCAACCTTCTGCACGAATTGAGATGAAAGGAGCCTTAATCGCGGGCGGGTTGTGGACGCATCACGAGCTGGTAGAATCAAGCGTC